CTTTTTCAATTCCGCCTGAGGGGGACTGGTCGAGTCCTCCCTCGGCCTCTTCGCCTTCCCCGGCCTCTTCGCCTTCTCCGGCCTCTTCGCCTTCCCCGGCCTCTTCGCCTTTCCCGTACTCACCGTCTCTATCTACATCTCTGGAGAAGAGAGGAGGAGAGAGGGGCTAGAATCTCCAAATTTTTTTAAGTACTTCCAACCTCAATCTTCGAATTTCTGGCGTCCTAGTTTTTTTTCTAGTTTTGTATGCCCTTTGATGTGTTGCGATATACTTTGATTGGACTCAGTTGGGATGATGTCACATAAAATGCTATTCTATCTTATCTTCTTCTTGTTTCGTGAACCGGAAATACCGCCAATTGTCGTCACGTGCTGTTTTTTTAGACTCTTTTTTAGACTCTACGATCTTATAAATAAAAATATGCTTCTTTATGTGTCGTTTAAGTGATTTTGCCGTGATGTATGTAAATTTGTTATCGCACACAATCGACATTCCGTTTGAAAATTTACAGGTTTCCTATATATATTCAAAAAGTGATGCTTTTTATTTGATATTGCCAAGTTTGTTTATATAATGATTTTTGCCACTCTTCTTGATGGACATCTTCACAGTATGTTTTTTTAGGTTGTGAAGTTGAATAGACAATTTTATAGTTTTTGACTTACATCCACATAGCCTATATTTCGCAGAAAAATCTCCCATTTGTTCCAAGAATTTCCAAGCCCAATCTTCCGTTTTTTGCCGTCCTAGATTTTTATCTTCTTTCGAATGCCTTTTTATATGTTCCGCTTTGCTTTGATTGGAAATATGCTCAATTGAGGTAATGTCGCATAAAATGCATTCTTCTTTTTTTCTCTTATTAGCCTCCAATAATTTTTCAGTGCAAAGTTGACATTTGGTTTTAAAATTCGTTGGCTTTGTATAATATTTATCCACAAAGTTATGCTGTTTAGTTTGATGACTCCAAGATTGTTTATAAAATGATTTTTCCTTACCCCACTCTTCTTCGTGGACGTTTTCGGTATGCTCTTTTAGATTTTGAAATTGTATTAACAATTTTATATTTGTTCCACAAAGCCTGCATTCAGCAGTAGAATCTCCAAATTTTTTTTTTTCTAATCGATTTGAGGGCCAGAAGGGCCCTCCCGGGGCGAGGAAATCTTTAAAAGACACACTCCCGTCGTGCAAGGACTGAGGATTGTTAGCCCTCAGCTTGACGGGAGGTAGTGTCGGATTCACAGCCTGACCCAACCTAAGTCAGGAACAGACTGTGCCTACGGACTAAAACTTCGCCCTAGACAAATCCATCGTACATTCGCCATATTAGATGAGGGTCAGGGTTGACGAACGGGCGCATAGCTCCTTTTCCTCTTCTAGGCTGATCCTAACTAGGATCCGGCTTCCAGACAGGCAGGTATTGGCCCCGCCTTTCTTCTCCCCGCTACCTCCTTCACGGAACGGATGAGGGTCCTGGGTTGGGTGACCCAGGACGCTGAGAGGGTTCAGGACCACGCGCCTTTTTCAATTCCGCCTGAGGGGGACTGGTCGAGTCCTCCCTCGGCCTCTTCGCCTTCCCCGGCCTCTTCGCCTTCTCCGGCCTCTTCGCCTTCCCCGGCCTCTTCGCCTTTCCCGTACTCACCGTCTCTATCTACATCTCTGGAGAAGAGAGGAGGAGAGAGGGGCTAGAATCTCCAAATTTTTTTAAGTACTTCCAACCTCAATCTTCGATTCTGCGTCCTAGTTTTTTTCTAGTTTTGTATGCCCTTTTGATGTGTTGCGATATACTTTGATTGGACTCAGTTGGGATGATGTCACATAAAATGCATTCTATCTTATCTTCTTCTTGTTTCGTGAACCGGAAATACCGCCAATTGTCGTCACGTGCTGTTTTTTTAGACTCTTTTTTAGACTCTACGATCTTATAAATAAAAATATGCTTCTTTATGTGTCGTTTAAGTGATTTTGCCGTGATGTATGTAAATTTGTTATCGCACAATCGACATTCCGTTTGAAAATTTACAGGTTTCCTATATATATTCAAAAAGTGATGCTTTTTATTTGATATTGCCAAGTTTGTTTATATAATGATTTTTGCCACTCTTCTTGATGGACATCTTCACAGTATGTTTTTTTAGGTTGTGAAGTTGAATAGACAATTTTATAGTTTTTGACTTACATCCACATAGCCTATATTTCGCAGAAAAATCTCCCATTTGTTCCAAGAATTTCCAAGCCCAATCTTCCGTTTTTTGCCGTCCTAGATTTTTATCTTCTTTCGAATGCCTTTTTATATGTTCCGCTTTGCTTTGATTGGAAATATGCTCAATTGAGGTAATGTCGCATAAAATGCATTCTCCTTTTTTTTCTTTTAGTTTGCATAAGTTGTCGACTGTTCAGCTTAATCGTGTGCTGTTCCTTGTTCTAAATCTTTTTATTGTATTTTTTTATTCGGATGTTTTTTCTTTATATGTTTTTACAAACTATTCATATGAAAATGTACACTTATATTTTCCATCATACATTTCACAATCTCTTTATATTGTTTTGTGTATTTAAATACCCAATTGTTAAATTTATGAGGTTTAAGGTTTTGTGGAGAATGACATTTTACGAGATTGTTTACTTCTTCCGTTTGGTTGGACAGAGGTTGTTCACAAAGATTGTATTTTTTATTCGGATGTTTTTCTTTATATGTTTTTACAAACTATTCATATGAAAATGTACACTTATATTTTCCATCATACATTTCACAATCCATATGTTTTGTGTATTTAAATACCCAATTGTTAAATTTATGAGGTTTAAGGTTTTGTGGAGAATGACATTTTACGAGATTGTTTATTTCTTCCGTTTGGTTGGACAGAGGTTGTTCACAAAGAATACATTTTATTTTTCCATCTACTTATTCTTTTGTAAAGCGAAAATATCTCCCTTTTGCGGCGATACTCGACACGTGTCTTTACAAAGATATCAAAAGAAACAAAGAAAGTGTTTTTACTTTTGCTTTTTCTCCAATCCACTTTTCGTGTAAAGTTGTTTCAACGGCCTTGGTCGACAGGCGATTCTGCAGATGATTTGCCGTATCGACTGCTTCGGCCCAGAATGTGTATAGTAGGTCTGCATCCAAGAGCATACACCTGGCTATCTCAATAAGTAAACGATTTTTTCTTTTGGCAACACCATTTTGCTGGGGTGTGTACAGTGCTGTGTACTGTATCTGAATACTTTGATTTCTTAAATATTCTACAACTCCTTTATTAATGTACTCTCTTCCTCGAACCACTTCTTGTATGGAGTTGTTTCAATGGTTTTGGTCGACAGGCGATTCTGAAGATAATTTGCCGTATTGACTGCTTTGGCCCAGAATGTGTATAGTAGGTCTGCATACAGGAGCATACACCTTGCTATCTCAATAAGTGAACGATTTTTTCTTTCAGCAACACCATTTTGCTGGAGTGTGTACAGTGCTGTGTACTGTATATGAATACCTTGATTTCTTAAATATTCCACAACTCCTTTATTAATGTACTCTCCTCCTCGATCCGATCTTACTACTTTTGACTGAAAGGAATCATCAATGAATGTGAGCATGTACCTTTTTCGCTCGGTGAGGTAGTTAGCATCGGTCCGCATATATCCGAATGAATTAGATTGAGTACAGACGTCGACCTGCTTAATGATTGCTTTGGAAATGGCAAGAACGTGTAGAACGTTAATGTAGCACGCGCTGTTCATTCGATCTTTGCAAATAAACATTTTACTCGCGTTACTAGCACCCATGCAGTCCTAGATTATTATGCTGCCTCTTCCGTATCAGAGATTTTTTCGTTGAGATTTCAATTTTTTTTTTCTTGCGTTGTTTCCTTTCTCTGATTTTTGTGCTCGATATCTTTCTGTGGTACCGATTATTATTGCTGGTTATGATGCTGGCGATGGTTTTTTGCGGTTTTTTTAATTGGTCGGAATAATTTTTTTTTATGTGAGTATTTATATTTATGTCCAGTATTTTTTGGCCACATTAATTATTTCTTAATTCACAGAGTTTATAGAGGAAAGTGTTTTTATTGTTTTTTCAATATTTGGTAACTCCTTCTTTTGCTTGAATTACAGCGGCAACTTATATCACAAAAGAGGAATATTACATTCCAAAAAGAAAAGTATCATATTTTAGAATACATTTGCAAAGCTTAAAAACAAATTATTCTTTGCAAAACTGGACTTTTTATTGCAGGACTTTCAATAATATCGAGAATGTAAATAAAGCTTAAATTAGAATATAAAGAATAATAATACAGGATACTTTGTATTATTATTAGGGCTTCCAATCCCGATATTTCGGGATTTCGACTGATTTTAAGCGTGCCTCGGGATCGGGATTGGTAAATACATACAGTAATGTCATCCAAATTTGAATTTACCGTGCGAGAACAAAAAAAAATCGTAAAATTTTTACGAGACATAGACATTTCTTATATTTCTTCGACTTTTATTTGATTATTTATAGTTTTTGTGGAAGTATAATATGTAAAAGTATAATACACTATATTACAGAATCAATGGCTTAAAAGAATGGTGACATATTCGAAACAATTAATAAATTTTAATGACAACAATGCTGACGTTTGTTTTCTTAGAATAAGAATTATATATTTTATATATACGAACAATAAAGTTTTATTCTGGATGAATCTTTGCACAAAACTGATATTTACCAATTATTATCATTTTCTTTGCCTCTTCGAGATATTTTAAACAAGTTGGCATATTTTTTGTATACTGGCGTATTTTTTTTTACCATTGTAAGGTTATGTACTTTCTGCAGAATATAAATATAATATAAATATAATAATAATTAGAGCTTTCAATCCGGGTATTAATATTTCAATCCCGATATTCTTGGGATTAGGGATAACAATTTCGATCTTGGGATCGGGATTCTCTAAAAAAGTAAAGTAACTTTCTAAAGAAAATGCCCGTAATTTGTTAAAAAGATCCATTATTTATTAAGATCCATTATTTATTAACCAGAAATAAACAAAAGTCACACTAACATAACGTAACCGTACAAAGTCAAACAAAGTTATATTAACATCACAATCCTCTATTCTTTGGCAAAAGGAACATAGTTCCACAAAAACTATAAATAATCAAATAAAAGTCGAAGAAATATAAGAAATGTCTATGTCTCGTAAAAATTTTATATATTATATTCGACTTATTATATATTATATTCGAATTTTATATATTATATATTTTTTATATATTATACTTCGACTATGAAAATATGGACTGCTGAAGCCAAGTTGATAGGGAAAGTGGAGGTAACTAGCAGTCCATATTTTTATAGTCAAAGGTATTATACATATTTATACAATGTCTGTACAATGATATTAAAAATCATGGTATTCAATCAAATTGTAATTTTTATTAAAAAGATTCTATTAAAAAGATAAAATATACATCATATATAGATTAACATTTCATATTGTGATACGAGATAATATGTAAACAAGTAAGTTAAGGCTTACTGTCTACACAAAAATTTCAAATAACATTATGTAATTTAACATATTACAATCTATAATTTTATCACATAGTGTTTTTTGCAGAAAATTATGATTGCATTTGACATTCTGACACTCTGAATCCTTCTATAACTCACTTATTATTTACAGTGAATCATAACTTTAATAGCTCCACCTGCTCCAGTTCTGCTGGTCTCAAAGGCTTTCTTGGTTTCCTCTATTTTATAGTTATGAGTGATCAATGGCTTCACATCTATCTTGCCAGATGCAACAAGATTCAACGCATCGTCATAGCTGCAAATTGAAAAGATATTATATCATCATGCAGAGAATACATTTTTATTAAATGTAATAGAAATGTAGTAATGTATAATATAATACACTAATATATCTTCATTAAATTTGAAGAATAGATTAATTTATAGATGTAAACTATACAACTTTTAATAATAATTTTCTTAGAGATGATTATTTCCTATAATAATTAGTTTGAAGAATTGAAATTTTCTTCCTATTTTATTTAGCATAAGGTTTCAATATTATTATATTTTTTCTATTGAACTTATAATCTATAGTCCTATTAATTAATTAAAACTTACTCATTTGCATATCGGAAGATACCTCTGATATCAACTTCCCTAACTAGTGCGTTAATTAGTGGAATTTGTACTTCTGGAGCAGTGTTTCCCACCAATACCACGACTCCACCAGATTTGGTTGCCTGACAACATACGATATAAATTATAATATATATAAATACAGATTATTTATGATATAATTATATAAATATAGATATATATAAAAGAAATACGTGCGCGCGTATGTGTGTATGTGTGTGTTTAATGTTATTACATAGATATTTTGAAACTCACGAGAATTGCCAGACGAATCGATGCTTGTGCACCAGAAGCATCTATTGTCCTGTTTGGTTCATCTCCAAAAATTGCGTGAATATCAGCTATTGCATCTTTCTCCGATCTATCCTTTTGTACCAGATACGTATTATCAGCGCCGAGTTTCTTTGCCATTTTCAGTCTACTTTCTACAATATCTATAAACATAAATTATACCTACTTACATCTCTTTTACAGGTTCAACCGATTTACATTCAGAATCGTCGAAAGATTTGTGTTACTTGTAAAACATATTGTGTTATCTATAAAAGAAACGCATGTATATTAGAAAAAAATAGCACTCTATGCTTTATGTGTAATAATTCAAATGTGCAATAAAAAAACGGCTACTGCGCAACACGCAATAAATTGTAAATGCGTGACCTCGACAATGCATATTCTCATTCCACAAGTAGCATCTGTCACGCAAAATGCATCTCGACGGTTTATCTAGCGATCGATTGCAACATAGTCTCCATATCTCGAATGCGTAATGTAAATATTTTTCTCTTACGCGGTAATTACGTAACTTGATAACTAGTTATCATTTGTAAACAGATTGCGATGTATTCCATGTAAAAAGAATTTCATTATCGCAATACTACAAACGCAATCACTTTAGGATTTTTCTTACTGGCGATAATTACCTTATATCAGCTTTTTTTATTTTGCAACCGATAGAAAACTGATATCAGAAATACTGCAGACACAAATATGGCACACACATAAAAATATAACATTTAATCAAATGTGGAGATATATTCAGAAACACAACGTGCTGCTGCGATTAGTTTTTATTAGATTTTAGATTAGATTTTACTATATAAAAAATTAACGATAAGGCTTTTTTAAATTTTCTATCAAAATAAAAATTAATCAACACGTTATTTACGTTAATATTACGTTAATAACGTTCCTCAATTGTTTGCAGTGACTACTGGAAGGAAGAATCGTAATTGGCTAAATAGAGATAAACAATCGTTCAAACTCGAGCTTGAGTAGAGTATTTTTCTCTTCTGTATTTTTCGTTTCACCCTTAACACATACCCGTGATAACCACTTTGCTTGCGCCCATGGCTTTGGCTACTAACAACGTCACCAGACCGATGGGACCAGCTCCCAGAATTAATACTTTAGAATCAATTCCGATTCCGCCTCGTTTGCAAGCATGCACTCCTACTGATAACGGCTCTAAAAGTGCTCCTTCCTCTAAGCTTACGTGATCAGGTAACCTGTTGCAAAAAATAAATACAAAAGTTATTATTTTTTAATTTGTAATACATTTTAAAATTTGCTTCCTATAAAATTATTACATTATATTTAAAAAGAGCTATCTTATTGCATTACATTACTACTTATGCACTAAGAGTTATGCAAATCTTGATAGTTTTATAATGCAAATTTATATAAACAAAATATATAATTAAACACACTTAAAGCAAAAATCAGCTGCGTGTTTGTAATAACGTCTTAGGCTGCCATGCACAGGTGGAGTTGCACAAAACACTATATCCTTGCACAAGTTGTAACGTCCCTCTTTACAAAACGTGCAAGTCCTGCAGGGAACACCGGGTTCGATGGCAACACGATCACCGACCTGTACAAAGAATATGTATCATATATTATATATATATATATTTCTTTTCTTAATTATATTAAATTCTTTAATATTAGCTATATCACAGTGTAGTAAAAAAACTAATTATAAATAAATACATAAATGCATAACATAAGCAATATTCGTACCTCCAAATTCTTAACATTTTTCCCAAGTTTAGCGACAGTACCGGAAGATTCATGACCAATGATCATGGGTTTCTTCACTATAAAGTCGCCGATCCTACCATTTACGAGATAATGGACATCTGATCCGCAGATTCCTACACACCCCATTTCCAGAAGCACCTCTGTAAAAGAAAAATATTAATTAATTCTTCTTTTAGAGTAAATATTTTATTATCTTTTTCTCGCATTTTTTATATATTCTTTTTAAACTTTCTTCATTCATAAATAAATAGCTAATAGTTAAGATGAAAAAAAAGAAAATCTTTCCTACAAGTTAATAATCCAAATATGAATAGAACTTTGATTTCAATGAATAAAAATTAATTCTGTTCACTTAATACTGCACAAGCCACGTGCGTATCTGGAACAGCATTGCATATTATTCTGATGAGCGCGTCATCACGCATGTTAATACCACTCAATGTAAATTGATTTATATTTCATACCAAGGTGTTATGCAATATGTCTGGACAAAATGATTTTCTTTCGCATTTTAAACAAATGCAGACATTCGTGTGATTTTCTTCTTTAATAAAAATAATATTATTTGCGTTGATTAATTATATTATATTTAAAAAATAATTAAAAAATGTAACTTTGTTTTCTATAAAACATAAATTTATATAATCATATTCATAATTTTATAAACATAAAACAAATAATTATACATCAGGACTATATGTACCACTTTTCTTGTATATATCTTTTAGTGAATTAAAATCGTCAAAATTAAGGCTATCATTATTGCTGATTGTGATGCTATTTACTAGACGTCGTAAAAATAATAATAATCTACACAGATATGATTGCATACAAAAATATTATGTGTATGCATTTATCTACCTGATTTATTTTTAGATATGACGTTATCGACTTCTTTTAGAAAGAAAATCTTTTTTTAAGATAGTGATAAACGCTTCTTACCATCGTCTCCTGGTTCCTCGATGTTAGTGTTCTCCTGAAAAAATGACACGCATTTAATCGATTAGAACACACATTTACATTACAAAAAACTATGCAAATTACGCTCTCAACATGATATTCGATGATTTTACTATCTTGTATTCATGCATCATATTTTAAAAGATAAAGATAACTTCTGTTTTTCTTAAAAAAAAAACAAGTAGAAATCTTTATGTTATATCAATCTAAAAAATAGATAATACAAGAAGAAAAAATTTATTTTGTAACTTATAAATTCGTTATTTTTTTTAATTAAAAAGAAATGATACAAATGTATTATTATAATTAATATATTAATTTCTAATTTTTCAAATTCCGTGTTTTTTACGTAAAAGCGTATTTATCTTCGTTATATTACTTTTCTGTAAAAAATAGGTATATTGAAAGAATAAATAAATAATATAAATTTATTTTATAAAAATACAAATTTCTAATTTCCAAAATTTATGTTCTTTTGAATAAATAAAATTGTACAGAACACTGTTGCTCATCACGCTGTGATACGAAAACATGTTGAGCTAATTATATAATAAAGTAATATACTTAAATGATTTAACACAAATAATATGTAAAATAATCTTTTGCAAACATATTAACATAAAAACCGTTAATTTTTTTTATAAATCAAAATATACGTAATCAGTTAAACAAGTAAAGCGTTAATATCAATATTTACGACATAGCGGATCAAAGGATAAATATACAAAATCCATTGCATATATAAAGTTTAACATTAGCTGCAACGTTAAATTTTATATATGCAATTAAACTGTTACGAATATTATTTCCCTCACTATTGTTGTGACAAATCAAATAAAACATTAGACTACTTTTACATTTCTACTTTCTGTAAAAAGATTAACATAATATTTATTCTTTTAACTGCAATATCTCTCTATTTTAAACTTCTTGTATTTAAAAAAAATTAATATTTGAGCTTTGTAAATATTCATAAGTATTACAAGAAAAAAAAAGAAAATCATAATAAAAATATAAAAAGTGTATTTTTCTAAAATCTAAATTTTTCATACTGTCAAGCTATTGAAAAAAACATGTATGAGAGAAATTTATTAACACATTCTGATAGCAATTGGCTCATTGCTTATTAGCTTCAATTAAAAATGAGTTCAACAACATTTTTGATCAAGATGATCATAAAAGTAATACGTTCGATTCGAGTATGAGCAAGCGCAGCCGTACAAGTTCATCATGCTTTCATACTAACCAGACGTAAATCGTTGATGCCGTATAGTATAGCGGTGAGATTGTCCTTAGCCATTTTCCCACGGATTTGAAAAATAGTGATCCGTTTGCGTCGAAGATTCGTGCTTCCGAATATTTTAATAAACGAACGGACAGAACAAGAAGAGAACTAGTGCTCGAGTGAGAACTCGCTGCTATATATACACGCGCCGCAGTTACATGTATATGCTTCGCGCTATCACTACAATGGCTTTATCGCCCCACTGGGCCGTCTTTTCTATCACCAGTGGTAGCGTCTCTCGATGACTGCGCATTTATCAAACAGTCCGATTTGTCCATATTTTGCAACTGCACTGTCAACCGTCACGTAATGCCATCCCTGAAATACGGTGTAGTCGGAACTAGTAAATCGATCTACACCGTACATGCAATCTCACTTTCTTTACCCGCTATCGTTTGGTTCTATGTCCGCAGTCACATATTTCACGACCGCTAACGCGACGTAATATGGGATAGATAAGATTAAATGGAATGAGGGTTCTCTTGATTGTTGTCTTCCTTTCACATTTACATACTTGAAAGACTGGATTTTCTTGGACCGATAAATAATATCTAATCTTTTTTCCAGATTACATTATTCTAATGTGTAATTTAATAAAAATATTTTTCAAAATGATTATTTTGACACTTGAAAATAAGAGATTTTATCAGACCTGCAAAAAATAGAAGGAAAATTTTTGGGAAAAATCAGAAAATTATATTGGAGAAATCAATCTAGTATTTGTTTAGAATTTAAAAATTTTGTAGTTTTGGATGTGAAGTATTTTGTATGGTGGAGATTAGCATTCAATTATATTGAATATTATATTAAAACTATTTATTAATAATATATGGGTTTCATATATGAATGTTTAATTTATGAAGTTATTAAGTTTGCATATAAATAAATAAAAGTAAATATTATTTAAAATATATTTTATATGATAATTTGATAATATATATTTTATAATTACATCATATACAAGTATTACAACATTATGTGCAATTGAAACAAATCAGATATTTAGTTCATGAAGTAGGACCAAGTAGAACTACTTTCTATCTTTTTCCGAGATATAAAAAACAGTTGGCCTTCAAAGATTAATGCCTTTATGATCTCTCTTTAATACGTTTATTATCTTATCTATGGGAATTTTTATAGAGTTCAAAAATTAAACACAACATTCAAAACTACTTGTTATTGTGTAACTTAGATATGACATCACGACGTATGAGATAAAAACTATAGAAATGTGTTGGAAAAACATTTGTATTTTTAATACATATACAAGTATCAAACTATTAATAAAAATATTTTGCTAATTATAATTGTTTTTGTATTACGTATATACTAAATAATTTACAAAATAATTAGTACATACGTGCTTTAATCCAAACCACCCCAAATTCCCGACGATTCGTACTCTTTAATCGTAGTTCTGTTATCTCTACGTTGCCTCGTTACTGCACTTGCTTCTCCTTTGACAAGTATCCTTGTTCGGTTCTTCTTTTCGCGTTTGTCAAGCAGTAATTTTGTCCTCTTTTTTATTACATCCGGCGCGATTGTAGAAGCCGTTGTGACACTCCGTATACTCCTCGTATCATCATAATCATTAATATGTGTCATTTCATTTTCTGTATTTGATGATAAATCGCACGATATATATTCATTGTTTTCTTTATCGGCCGATATATTTTCATTATTTGAATCACACTTACTTTCTGTATTATTTTGATCCTTAAAACATAGCGCTGCCGTTTGTTCCAAACATTCATTATAATTATTCAAAGTTGCTTCTTTCTGTGGAACATCAAATACTTCTCTTACAGAATTTTCAACTTGAAGTTGTAAATCACTTATTTCTTCTTCTAAATCTTTATGGTTCTTGTGAGCCTTTTCCTCATTCTTTTTCCTTTCTTCCTCTTCTTCTTCTTCTTCTTCTTCTTCATCATCATCATCATCGATACCCATTCCTTTAAACAGATCTTTCTCCATTTGTTTTGTTAAGCCACTAGCTCTGACTTCAACATCTATGCAATCCTCTCGTCTAAAAGAAATAAAATAATCGATTCATTGAATTAACAAAGAAGATATAATAATTCATTTATAATAATAGAAATTAAGAACGCATATTTTTATAGTACTTACGATATATCTTGAAAAATTGGATACAGTTCACTTTCATACCCAAAACGTCTCTTAAAGAAATCACGAATGCAATTCACATCCCTTTGAAAATATGCTTCCGCATTTTCATGTTCCGTAGAAACCATTTGTGGGAAATCAATAATGACAGGTTTACCATCATCTTTGATCATTATGTTAAACTCATTGAAGTCTCCATGTATAACACCATGATTTGCCAGTCTGACAATCAAATCCATGAGCTCGTCATATAATGCTTCTACATTGCTTACTTCACTTACATTACACCTGTAAATAAGATGTAATTAAAATAATATATATAATAAAACTATTATCCAGAGAATATTATTTACAAACGTACAGAGGTCCACCTTCAACCAGCTCCATAATAACACAATGCCTGTTGAAGTCAATTGGTTTTGGCACAGAAAAACCTCTATCCAAAAGTGCTGTCATATATGCAAATTCTCTAGTTGCTGATATTCTTGATAGATACAACCAAGAGGCAGAATGTCTATGCTGATGATAGTCTCTTTTGTCCTTAATATTTCGAAAGCACGTTCTACCTAGTCTGTGTAATTTTAGACATAAAGGAGTCTCTTTGTCATTAGCAACAACGTAAATATTAGATTCCTTGCCAACACCAATTTGGTTACCAAAATAAGAAATTACTCCTCTCTGTGTTAAAACCTTTAAGGCTAAATAATCATAGCCAGCATTCGTCAAACGATAACCATCATCTGAAAATTTATCAAAATTTATCAGGCAACATGTTTTTAAAATTTCTGTATTATAACAAAAATCAAGTGTAAACTTTAGTGTTATTAAATCTAAATGTATATAAATATTAATGCTTACATCGTTTTCCTCGTTCATAACTAAGCAGTTTATGCTTGCACAATTCTCTTAACACTTTATGAACTCCACCATAACGTAGATTCGCTATTTGTGCAGCAAGTAATGCAGGCACGAGTTCATGATTTTTCATGCCCATTTCAATCTAAAATATAAAGGTTGTATATATGATTAAACAAATATAATAGTACGATATCTTCAAAAATTTGTTGTAGAACTTCTGAATTCTGGTAAGACAAAGCATAGGTTCATAATTTGAAAAAAAACATACCGCTGTTAAGACACGAAATTCTTCTGAGGTTAAATATCGCAATAATTTAACGTCCAATTTTCCCATATTTGCTGGATTAAATGGAGCAAATAAGTGATGGTGTGAGTTCGGTATAACGTAAATTCAGTTTTTATTTTAAAATATTAAACTCTAAATTTATTTCTTTTGATTAATTTGGCACGTACACATTATCCACGTTATACCGCTTTATAAACTGTCACGAACTATAAAATACAAATAAAAGTAAAACTCTATTAATCCAAGAATAGATGATTTAGTGGCAGGAAACTGAAGCTCTTGTCACGGTAACTTCTTCTTTATCGACTGGATATTTATTTTTATATTTTACATGTAGTTATTTAGTTGAGCAGCGCTGTATGCACTCACTACAATTAGTAGGTATAGTGAAGCTGCCGCAAAAGTGTACCGCGTAAGAAGGCGTGAAAAGTGTTCGTTGTTGATTGTCTGCCCCTCCTCAAGATCGTTTAAGCGGCGAAAAACGCGAATCGGTGTATAAAATCCTCGATCGCCGGCCGTGTGTATATGTGTGCGTGGGCGCGTGTAAGCGCGGTATCTGCAAGCCAGTAACAAAATTATGAATACACACACCCATCACGCATCGATTCGATAAAGCGTTAAACTTACATTATTCGCCGTTGTCGCGGATAATGGGCAGTGCCAGTGCGTTCGCAATCATCACACTCACTTGAAAAATTCATCATTTATTACAGGTACTTGTATCCATGACATAAAACAAACGTCAATTAGAACGCGGCAATATACAGCGGCCGAAACTGACAGGAGGTATATATAACCTCGCATTCTCGTTGTCTCGAGGCCGCACTTATGAACATTACGCGATATTTGTTCCTGATCGGTGGTTGGCTGGTATGCCAGGCATTCCGCCATTTGTTCTTATACAGTAATCTACAAATTACCTGGTTTTACTTATGCGAACAAAATGCGATACCGATAAGGTTGCACAAGAATTAAGTACTCGCGTTATCGCCCAAAGCGCAAGTACGCGCGCACTGCTCATTAAGTCCTGCGGACTCATTAAGATTCGTGACAGTGTCTACTTATTTACGCTAATATTCCAGCTGTAATATACAGATTCAACGCACGTAATTTTATGTCATAATTCCGTGGAAAAACTTGCATTTCTACGCATCAACGTGGCGCTGTTACGCTTCGGTTTATCAGCTCGCTATCTATCGAAAAATTCTTAATCATCTCGAATGATGTGAACCTATCGCATATTTGTAATTTCTCTAGTCATGAGTTTCTATTAGCAATTTAGTTGATCATGACACGTAACAAATAGTAATATGATATGTATATATGTAAATTAGTTGTATGTGTTATACATCATGAATTGAAGGCCAGATTAATCTTTGCTAAGAAGTTTAAAAATAGTGACTTCCACATTATTCATTGAATACACATATTTGAATATAACTGGTATAAAAATTTAAATTAAATTGTTCTCTTAAGTTAGTGTTATTGTGAAACATAATATCTAAAATTATAGCAAGTGACATAAATTAATTTATATGACATTAATAAACCATTATTCTGTTAATTGTGTTTACTTTAGATTAAATATAATCTAAACATGTAAATATAGTATAATTTATTGACTATATATGTTATTTTTTGCAGGAATAATGTTGAACAGTATAACAAAACACATTTTACACTGCTGTCTGCTGCTCATAGTCATACTAATATTTGAATTTGTATCCGGTGGACTTCGGTGGAATACAGATGAGAAAGAAGAAATTGATCCATGGATGCGATATGGCTTTTTCAGTACAATCACTTTGTACCTGTTACGTACAGTCACATTTCTCTCCTTGCCTCAAGTTTTATTCAATTTTATAGGATTAACAATATATAATGCATTCCCGGATAAAGTAGTATTGAAAGGTTCACCTCTGCTTGCACCTTTTGTTTGTATAAGAATAGTGACTCGCGGGGATTATCCACAATTAGTGAAAGCAAATGTGAAGAGAAACTTAGATAAATGCATAGAAGCTGGTCTTGAGAACTTCCAAATAGAAGTAGTGAGTGATAAACCGATAGGTTTAACACCGCACCGCAGAGTGCGAGAAGTTGTTGTTCCTTTAAATTATCGCACAAGTAGTGGTGCCTTATTTAAGGCTCGTGCTCTGCAATACTGTCTGGAGAGTTCAGTAAACGAATTAGCTGATCATGATTGGATTGTCCATCTCGATGAAGAAACTTTGATGACTGAGAATTCTGTTCGTGGAATATTGAATTTTGTATTGGATGGCAAACATCAGTTTGGCCAAGGATTAATCACATATGCAAATGAAGATGTGGTCAACTGGATTACAACATTAGCTGATAGCTTCAGAGTAGCTGACGATATGGGAAAGCTAAGATTACAATTTACTATGTTTCACAAGCCATTTTTTAGTATGAAAGGATCTTATGTTGTCACACAGGTAATTATTGATAATCTAATTACAGAAAATTATGTATAAATTTATCTTAAAGACAAATTTTTTTCCTATATATTTTTATATTGGATTGGATATTTTATATACAATTAAAAAACTAATTGCTATGTTATTACAAAATATTAAAAAATGTACATTACAGATGGGAGCGGAAAAGCAGGTTTCTTTTAATAATGGATTGGATGGATCCGTTGCAGAAGATTGTTTTTTTGCAATGAAGGCATTTTCTCAAGGATACACGTTCAACTTTGTAGAAGGTGAAATGTGGGAAAAATCGCCGTTTACTCTATGGGATTTTGTACAGCAGAGGAAAAGATGGTTGCAAGGAATTTTACTTGTCGTGCATTCCAAAGCGATTCCATTAAGGAAAAAATTGTTGCTGGGTATTTCGTGTTACTCATGGGTGACGATGCCTCTCTCTACTTCCAATATCGTATTAGCCGGTCTGTGTCCGATTAATTGTCCGCCACTGATTGATTTTTTATGCGCATTCATTGGTGCAGTAAATATTTACATGTATGTGTTCGGAGTAGTTAAATCGTTTTCTCTATATCGTTTTGGTGTGGCCCGATTTATGTTGTGTATATGCGGCGCATTGTCAACTATTCCGTTCAATATAATCATCGAGAATGTTGCTGTGATATGGGGCTTGTTTGGTAAAAAACATAAATTTTATGTTGTTAATAAGGAATACAGACCGCCAGTGACTGTATGATGCGGCATCAATTTAGAATCTTTATTTAACTGGTGCATATTTAGCAGCAGTGTAAAGTTTCCATTGTGCATGCACATAATTAGTACCTGTAAATTTATGTAGTAAAATATTACTGTCACAAACGAAATATTTATAACTAGTATTATATTGAATTATGAAATTTATAAGATTGATCGATTTTTAAACAGGCAAAAAGCATAATATAGAGCAATAGGTAGGTGCAGTATTAAAAATATTCGACGTTAGTATTAAAGCATTGCCAAATCTGTTAAAAGATATTCACTTGTCAAAAATATATTTATGTCAATATCTTATTCTTATAACGCAAGTCATGTCATATGTACTTTGATCTCATGCAAATGTGTTTAGCATTCATTAAGTTATGTGTATCATTCTATATGTTCCTCATCTCATTAAATTTATATATATATATATATCTTATAATATAATTTTTTGTTATATCCAGCAAATCTTGTCGTGTGTTCAGGAACATCTCATTTTTGTCATATCTTTTATCAATAGTTTTTCTTAATTAATGCCTTATGAAGTGTTATGCATATTGATAACAATTTCATATTTCTCCAGTGTCTAGATTATTTTACTTAATAGCAATAACTCATTTGTATACATCATTAATTCGGACAACTGTGATAAATCTTGCTTTCCTATACATATAATGATAACTTTTTTATATTTTTTAGAAAGATATAAAAAACTTTTCAAACCAAATGCAGCAACTTAAAAATGACAACATGGGCCAAAAAATATTTCATCTTCTTAAAATCAGAATATACGTGTGTAGTTTTGTATATAATATTTTTTATTTTACATATTTTTTTTAAATTAATAACGAAGCATAATATTTGTATACATTTCTAACACTAATATATAACTAGTGTGTGTATACAGTACTTAAGATATTCATTTTTCAACGGAGATAAGAATCTTTAAAGTATATAAAAATACATACGGTTTTAGATATTCTTTGGTAAAAGTAAAGAATCAAACTTACTATAACTAAGGAGATATTTTTCTTTGAAGAAATAAAAATATCGATTTTTTATTGCATAATTTAAAAGTATAATATTTCTAAAATTTAATTGATATTCTAAAAATTATGAATGAATTATATTTCATAAGCAAGAAAGAAATAATAGGATAAATATAAAAATTTGTCTAAAAAGTATGGTATAAGTTAAAGTTTATTAAATCCATTAAATTTCTGCATATATGTAACTATTAGTATGAAATGTTATATTATTGCAATTTTTAAAATGTTCTTAAAAAAAATATGAATCTGATTCTAACAAATTTTCTAGATAATGTGATTTTGTTATGTAATACATAATATTTAATCTATTAAATTGCAAATAAAAAGAATATAAAAGACATGTACAATATAAATTATCATTTTGTCACATCTTATACATTTCTACAAAACATCAGTATCATCTTATCAGTATCTGTTTGGGATATTTGCAATATCAGCCACTTAAATCATTTTCAAAGCTTTTTTAACATAATAAACATGATAAGGCTTCCCAAAAAGCTTTATATTTTAATATAAATCATATATTTTCAGAATTTTATAGGAAACGTCATATTTTTATGATTTATGACAAAATGATACGAAATGGTTTTAAGAATAACGAAGCAATACATTTAACAAGACTTATTGTATCTAGTCAAGAAAATATAAAGGACGTTGAAAAGCACGAAAATTCCTGTCATAATGCACATAAATGACTAATATAAACTTTGATTAATACTGTATTAGTGCAATAGGATGTAATTGATTCTAAATACTTCATTCAGATAAAAAGTTACTGTGTTCTGCAAGTATTTCCACTCTTCAATAATTAAACTTTAATAAAATTTGGCACGTATGTAGAATATGGATGCAAATAATTAATGTGGTTTTTAATTGCTGTTTGCTACTAACGCAAAGTACTGGGTACTAACGCAAAGTTAACATTACAGTGATTGTGGTAATTATAATCTTACGATTGCGTAATTGCGTTGCGTAATATTGCATAACTATAAATTGCCCAGTGAGAAGTACAGATTGAAGAAACGTCTATTAGATGTCTATTAGATGTTTATAGGCGTTTCTACGCGTCTAATATACATCTTTTTGATCTGTCATTTCTCACTAGGTGAGTATGTCATTAAGTTCATAATGTTGTAAGATATGTTGTAAAATTAAAGTTTTTAGGTATTTTATTTTATTTATATAAATTATAGTTTTTAAATATAAAATTTAAGTTTTTTAGTATTATATTTTATGTCATATGAAACATTGATGCAAACACATTTAAATACTAGTCTTATATCCCGGCCATTTATTTAACACCTAGATGGCAATGCCAATTTATAAATAAGGCATAAAAATGATGAATGCCCAAAATTTTAATTAATATTAACAAAAAATGACTGTTACCAAAATTTCTCAAACTTTTTAATTTAAATCAATTCTTGCTGTGAAAACATAACAACTTTTTTCCTCTTTTTTTTTAAATTTGTTTTTAATATATTATAATAAATTAAAAAGAATTTGCAGTAAAAATACAAAATACTGACCTGAAGTTGGCTAAAAATGATTAATCACACTTGACAAAAATTTGTTGTAATATGGTATTGAGTTTGGAAAATTTTGAATTGTACATTAATTAATTGAATTAGTATGAAACAACGATACATCTTTTAATTGAAAAATATGTTGCATAATAGGAACAACTTAGTATAACTGCTTTTAGTATTATATTTTTATGTAATTGTCAGTTTGTGTTTCATCAGACACGATTTTAATTAGCTTATGTCACACACATGTAATAATTCATAAATTTACATCTTTAAAGATTAGTGAAATAATGATGATTTTGAATTATATTATGTAAAGTTTCTCATATATGATACATGATATTAGAGGAAGAAATTTACAGTGTTAACAAGATTGCTTATTGTAAAATTCTGAATTGATATGATGATTGCAATCATTGTATTAAATTTAGGAATAATATTAAAAATTGAATAATAATTGAAAATAAAAATAAAATTGAAAATAAAAAATTGCTTTACAATAAATGTTTCTACGTTTCTTTAATCATAAAATTATAGCATTTTTTCATTGTATCTCTCTTGCTATAAAAATTTATACAAATAATTATCTATTTTTTTGACTCTTAAGAGGATGCTGGAGTTACCGACTGAACACGATTTTTTCGCGAGCAAGGATCTTTTTATTGTCTGCAAAGAATAAAAAATCCTTTTCTACGATTAAAATACACGCGATAATAAAATGCGGAAGCCTAGACTTGAAGGCAAGAAAGAAAGAAATAAAAAAAAAAAGATTTTTCTTAACCTTCAAAGCTGTCAATTTGTGA